TCTGGTGCAGTCACTCCCACCTTCAACAGTGAATCAACCTGTAAGAGCTGTTCGGTCTGAAATAAGGGTCAGTTGAGGAATGGGTGGTATCAGTTCTTTGTGCTGAAGTTGTTTGAAACGGTACCTTTGAAGCTGGCTGCAGAAACAACCAAATAACGGGACAAGCAAGCAAACCCATCAGTTAGCCCCCGAACCCGCCCACACCGAGCCCCCCACTTCGAAAACCACACCACGATTTCATTAAAAAACTGGAAATGTTTATTTTTTAGCTTCAGTGCAGTAGCCACACTCACATGCACATGCAAAACAAACGGTCGCACGGTGCAGGGTTTCCATCACGCTATTCGAAACCGGGCGGGCCGGGCTCACGAACCCCTGCAGTCCCGGCTCGCGCGGGGGTTTCGTTCGACAGAGCGCGAGCCCCCGAGGGCGGTCCAACATGGCGCCGGTCGGGCTCGTGAGGAGGGTCTCTGCCGGGGGCGGGGCAGCGGCTGTGTGTGTCTGCAGGTGAGAACTTGGGGCTCCAGCTCATCTGAGCGGAACTCAGGCGCTAAGTCACCCCGGTACCCCGATAACAAAACCCAGAAACCAGCCGGCCACCAGCAGACGTCTTTTCCAGACGTTAGCACAGTCCTTCTCCGGTCTGTAGAAAGAAATACGCGGAGAATGTCGAGAGACCCGAGACTCCAGACGGGTGAAATGAAGAGAATCCTCTTCCTTTCGGTTTCGTTTCCTCCGCTCGACGCGCTACTGTACAAACCGGCGGATCCGGACGAGCGCCTTTCACCCTGACCCGGAAAGTACTGGGATTTGGGTTTAATTCGTTTGAATAATTAGACTCCATTTCGGTTCAGTGTCTCAAAATCAATTTAGTGACACCCACGGGGAACAGTTACTTTTTAAAAAGAATCTCTTACATTTCCAAGTTACTCCTGTTAGACACTAAATTTATTTCAAAGCCTTTTGGGAAATGACATAGTAGTTCTCCACAGCCAAAATGTTGTGTTTTCTTTCTTCTCTTTTCAGTATGGAATAAACCTATTACTTGTTCCGTTATTCACACTATATTGATCAGTAAGTTATAACTTTTGGGGCAGACACAGGACCAGTTAATAAAAGCCCCTCTAAAGAAGAAGGTTTTGAGTTTGGATTTGAAAGCGCTCAGGGTCGGTGACTCTGATATCCTTGGGGACAGAGGTCCGGAGCGTTGGGGTGCAGCAGGAGAAGCCCTGTCACCCCTAGAGTGTAGACGGGCTTGGGGGACAGACAGGAGAGCAGGGCCAGAGGAACGAGGGCTGCGAGGTGGAGAGTAGAAGGACAGTGACTCAGATAAGTACTGAGGAGCCGAGCCGTGTGGAGTCTTGCAGGTGAGCATGGGGATTTTGAAGTCAACACGAAAACCGACAGGAAGCCAGTGCGTGGACTCCAGGACAGGAGTGACGTGACTGGTCAGGGTTCTGGCTGTCAGTTTCTGGACATAACAGGGCTACAGCACTGGCTTTACAAACATTACTTAAGAATGGAAAGGAAGTGAATCTCCTCCCCTTCGTCTTGCTCTGAGCAGACCACCATCCCCTCTCTCTGAGAGTTACTGAGCCCGAGAAACCGAGACAGACGGACTGAGACTCACAGAGCTAAAGAGAAAGAAAAGCAAAAGAGAGGCAGGCAGGGAGAAAGCTCAGAGGAAGTAAACATACCGACCGAGGATAAACATCTCTGACGCCGGGACACGCACAGTCACCCCATCACCTTTCCCACCCCCCCACACTCTGGGCTCCCTGCCACTCAGATCACAGGGTCCTATTCAACAGCCCTGCAGTTCCTCCCCAATGGAAACCTAATTGACCTGCAGAAAGAAAAACAAGGTGTCTGATATCCTGGTGGCAGATTAGGGCACGCAGACTGGAAAGAGCAGTTTGCACAGGAGACAGGAGGCGTTTCCTGGAGGCGGTCGAGAGTCGGATTCCTGAAGAGTGAGCTGTATTTTCCACGATTCCCCCCTTTTCACCCCCAAAACCAGACTCCGATCAGCATCTTTTTTTTTAGAAACACAAAGGTGGCACGACAACTTAACAGAAACAAAAAAAACAACCGATTTATGAGTTAAGAGTTATGGCTCAGCGGCCTCTCCTTCACTGGCCATTGGTCTCTTTCGCAATCTGTAAGGAAATGACCAGATCTGAAACACGTCGGAGCGCATGTTTATCCAGACACCCAGAGCGCACGGACAGCTGATTTATTCTGTAGCTGCACTCACACCATGGGAGTAGACACCTGGACAGCTGACAAAACAAGCAAATGTACTGTAGTTCAAGTGTGTAGCTGCGTCAGCATGCGTGCGCTGCAAAGGAATAAGTAATAGGTTTATTCCCTGCTGAAAAAAGGAAGAAAGAAAACACTTCTTGAGCTCAAACCTGAAGAAGGCTCCACAGCCGAAACGTTGTGTTTTCTTTCTTCTTTTTTTCAACAGGGAATAAACCTATTACTTGTTCCAAAAAAAGAAATTAACTGATGTCCTGATTGTATAGATTATTATTAATAAACTGCCTTGTGTGTATCTGAAGTGGCTTCACGTGCAGCCATTTACACATCTGAATCCTTACTGAGGGTGATCCGAGTTGCGTACTTTGCTCAGTGTACAACAGCTGTGCCCCATCTTGGGCTGGAACCTGCAACCTCAATCAGGAACCTGCTCTTCCACTTCTGTTTGGCCACATCGATAATGTAGAGTGATAACTGGTGAGGTTATTTCTAAAAAGTACATTTATATCGGAATCCCTTGATTGGAGTTGCTAATTGTGTCGGATCTTAATGAACCCTGTCCTGCGGGGGCAGATTCAGGGAGCACAGAGGACAGCCCACCTCCTCTGTCCTGCCCACTGGCTGATCCATGTCTCGGGGACGGGGATCGGGATCTGCTGGGAAAGTTAGCACTGATTATTGTAGAATAACAGCAGCCTACACAACAGCCTTAGGTCCTCGTTCCTCGGTAGGAATTTCCGGTGCTGTAACCAGTCAGGGCAGCTTTTCCAATCCTTGCATTATGCCGCCCACACTGACGATTGTATCTCAGCAGCAACTGCACCATCAGGGTCAGGCTGTTGTGATGTCTTGATTGTTTATATTGGCAGTTATTCAGGTATATACAGTATATCCGCCTCAGACATAACAGGAGGTTAGAAACGAGAACATGCATGTTCTGGTAGTTATAAGTCTTATTAATTGCTATTATTAACTAATAAGAGTAATAATAATACAAACGTATTCTTGTACAAACCTCATGGCAGTATTTATTTCTATGCTTTTATCATACAACAAGTTATTTTTCATCATCTCAACGAGGGATATTCATCATCTAGCCCACTCAATCCATTGTTATGCTGCAACCCTTAAGTATTTAAAATTTTAATTGATAATGAGCAGAATCTGTAGAGAACGGAAGATGCTGTTGGTATCAATGTAGTCAGATGGGAGGATCGCATGTTGTATACATTGTGCATCACAAACATTTTCTTTAAGCTTTTTTAATTCGTCTATCCATCCTATTGTGGAGGGTGAACAGCGAGTAACTCCAGCATGGCACTGGGGTCATAGCCCGGGAGAGTCAAGGACAGAAACCTCTATACCCAACACTGTGGACCGCATTTGTGCCAATTTAACGTTGCATTATTTTACTTTCCCTTTGTTGTTGCTAAATAAAAGCATTTAAGCTCCTAGCTCTTCAAATAGTGTCCTGTTCCTCTTCCCTATTTGACTTTGATGTGGGGATCTTACAAGACACACCTTACCTTTACAGTGTCCAGCAGGTTTTGCTATGTATCACGCAATGTGTAATTAATAACTAGCCCTGGCCATTTCTCCGTCTGAAGAAAGCAACCTCTTTCCGAAAAAAGCCTCCCCTGTATTAGTCTGGCGTAGCTCCATTTTGACATGAGTCCTTACTGCAGTTAGCAGCTCAGTCACAGTCCTGACATGAATCTGACAGACACTGCAGCAGGGCTTGTAACTGCTGCCCACTGAGGATCCCGTACCGACTAGGCAGAACGTGAGTTTATTTGCCAAGGATAACGAGTGAAATTGCTCCATCCTGGTGTGCACAGCTTGTAGAGACTCACTGCTGTAATTACTGCCAACAGCAGTTCCACTAAGTTACTGAGTCATGAGGTGTCTGATTGTTCTTTGTAGTTTTTACTGACAATTATATGTCTTTCACTCATACATGTGTTCAGTTTCAGCCTTCAAGCTATGGTTAAACATATTCACTTTAAGAACAACAGGTACACAGCACATCATTTTCTCACCCATCAAAACAGGACATCGGTGGATGGGGGGGGGGGTTGGTTCTGCAAGGCTCTGAGTGTCTGCTCAATGACAGTGAAGGCAGGCCAGCAGAAACAGCAGACAGGAGCACACAGAGCGTCTGGTCGTGTGGGGAAGTGGGCTGGTGGAGGGCAGCTCTGTGGCAGAGGCTGTATTGTAATTGTAATTGAAGATGTCCCCTAGCATGATCCTTGTTTGTTTACTTGGCCCATGTCATCTGGCTCTTGTCTTCAAGGGCTTGGCGTAGAGCGCGGGTTGTTGGCGTCGGCACCACGGTGTCCTCCGCAGGACGGCAGGGCAGAGCGCGATGACCCCAAGCAGCACGAGCCCATTCACGGCAAACAGCGAGTACACCCACCACACCACTGAGAGGCCACAGAGCAGAAAGAACTATAGCATATAAAAAAAAAACAACTCTTTCTGCATAACCATATCTTGTGCATGCTTTTTTCAAAAAATATATTTGTAGTATTGTGTAGATTTGTTGAAACCAGCTGCTTAATAATGGCTTTGGATTCAATTTTTGTAAAGTAAACTATTAATATACACCACAGTGCAAAAGTCCTAGATAAAATATATATATTTTTTGAACATCAACAATAAACCTGAGGCCTCTATTAGTGTTGTCTATTATAACAACTTTGGTAAAATAAAAAGCTTATCTTATTTAATGATCTTTAATTGACCTAAACAATATATTGGTAGCCATTCTGCCCTAAATTAATAAAAAAAAAGAATAATTATTTGATCCAAGAGTCTCTTCTAGTCATTTCTTGAAAGAAGCCAGGGTGTGTAGGGTGTTCAATGATCCTACAACCCTGATTGTAAAGAACTGACCTGCATCCATGAGCTAGTTGGGAACTGAACCCAGATTAACTCATTGAAGTGTATGGAAGGCAGCTGTAGTAACCACCTACATCACCAGCACAGCTATTAGAGCGCATAGATCGCAATCTTCAAACACTGTCACAGCAACACAAGGCAACCATACATGAGCAGCCAATGTGAAGTATTATAGAGGATAACCTACATTTACTAATCAGATAGAACCCACTCATTACCAGAAGGTCCTTGTCATAAACGCCATTTGTTCTTCTGTGCACATCCGCAAAGGTGAAATGTTACATTTTTTTGTCAGCATTAAGGGTTAGAATAAAATGTCTCAGTTTCTATAGAAGATGGTAAAATTGTGTTTTGGCCTTAAGAAGGAATTACACTGAGCGAGAAGAGTAGAATGAAGCAGAAAGTCAGAGAAGCAGCTGTGATGGAGAGCTGGCTATTTTCTGTGGCGGTGTGTGGAGGATGTGTGTGTGCTAGCTGCTCAGATAATGTGACTGTCTGTCACCACAGCAGGGGGTACGGATGTGGTTTAGACCACATAAACTTCACTTGTGTGTTTTCTAATGGTTATGCCCCAAAAAGAGCTAAGAGACCTAAATGTACAGCAACTTTTTTTCACTTTTAGCTCACCAGTGTATTTGACCTCTTGAAGCTACACATGCAACGTCTGGACAGCAGGACTCTCTGACATTTGTGTTGCGTTTTTCCTCAAACTCTTTGGGTCAGACCATAAAAGGTGAATTCCTGTTACACACCTCTGCTGCTTTCAGGCGGCTCCGTGATGTTCAGAACACTTCCACTTCCCCAGTGGCCTGTGCGGATGTTGTGGCGTTCATTTGTGCACGTCATCTGGCAGAAGAAGGTGTTGCTGTCGTTCACATGGAGGTCTGTAAGGCTCAGGATGGAGTAATTACCCAGATCTGTAAGACGTACGCGATCTGTATATTGTGCTGTCTCACTTACTTCCAGCGAAGGCTTGGAAGCCCCTGGACTGAGGATGTACCATTCAGACAGGCAGTCTTTGACTTCCTCTTCACCCGTCTGCAAGGCGCAGTAAAATGTAACCGATAGTCCTGAGCGACAGTGGACTTCCAGAGGCCATTGACGTAGCAGGACCTTACTGAGAGCAGGGGCTGTGTTAGAAAGGAAATAAGAATAATGTTACAATCTCAGATACTGGCCAGATCTCCTAAATCAGGCAATAATTATTGTAATAATTATTAATAATAATAATAATTGCTTACACTTATATTGCACTTTTCTGGACACTCCACTCAAAGCACTTTACAGGTAGTGGGGATCCCCTCCACCCCCACCAATGTGAACCCCACCTAGATGATGCGATGGCAGCGATAGTCTCCAGTACTCTCCCCACACACCAGCTCTCAGTGGGGAGGAGAGCAGAGTGATGAAGCCAGTTCAGAGAGGGGGATTATTAGGAGGCCATGATTGGTAAGGGTCAATGGGAAATTTGGACAGGACGCCGGGGTTACACCCCTAATCTTCTCAAGAAACGCCCTGGGATTTTGAATGACCACAGAGAGTCAGGACCTCAGTTTGACGTCTCATCCGAAGGACAGCGCCTGTTTACAGTATAATCAGACACAAAAAGGCTGTGTCTGATTCTACGTTTATCTAGATTATCACTTGATGGATATTTATCAGACCCACGGTTAGCACTCTAGATGCACAGAAAATGTATTAAAAACTATTTTTCTAACACATCAATTCAACAAATACAGAGATATTGTTTTTCACATTCCATCTTATACTTGCAACTTCACTTCAGCAGTTCTTACTGAACAACAAACGTAACACAAGTGCTAAGTACAAATTGTTACACATCCAGTTTCACATAAACATCCTCCTTGAAAAGGGCAGCTCCTTCTGCTGGGACGGAATCAGAAATACAAAAATAAAAGTTTGAGATTATAGCAGCACAGTGTTTAGGCTGTAGATTTGGAACTGGAAGAATGTGGATTCAAAACCTACGAAAAACACTGCTATTGCACCTAGATTGCACCAGTAAAATACCCAGCTGTAGAAATGGATGCAAATGTAAGTTAGAAAACAGTTTTGGATAAAATCTTAAGACATACAAAACTTATTGAGATTAATCATAAACAGCTGGTATTGTTTAGCTGTTCTACATCAATTATTTCTTTTTTTTTTGTATTTCTGTCCTTAAACACTACAATTTTCCTTTCAGAAAACCCATCCTCGGTCTGTTGTATTTGGTCCTTCATTTATTGGACTCTATTGGACTCTCTGACATTTGTGTTGCGTTTTTCCTCAAACTCTTTGGGTCAGACCATAAAAGGTGAATTCCTGTTACACACCTCTGCTGCTTTCAGGCGGCTCCGTGATGTTCAGAACACTTCCACTTCCCCAGTGGCCTGTGCGGATGTTGTGGCGTTCATTTGTGCACGTCATCTGGCAGAAGAAGGTGTTGCTGTCGTTCACATGGAGGTCTGTAAGGCTCAGGATGGAGTAATTACCCAGATCTGTAAGACGTACGCGATCTGTATATTGTGCTGTCTCACTTACTTCCAGCGAAGGCTTGGAAGCCCCTGGACTGAGGATGTACCATTCAGACAGGCAGTCTTTGACTTCCTCTTCACCCGTCTGCAAGGCGCAGTAAAATGTAACCGATAGTCCTGAGCGACAGTGGACTTCCAGAGGCCATTGACGTAGCAGGACCTTACTGAGAGCAGGGGCTGTGTTAGAAAAGGAAATAAGAATAATGTTACAATCTCAGATACTGGCCAGATCTCCTAAATCAGGCAAGGCTGTGTCTGATTCTACGTTTTTCTAGATATCATCTCATGTATAGGTATTCATCAGCTCACTATTTAGCACATCTGGTTCCACTCAAACACTGCCCTGCATGTTTTACAGTGAACTCAAAACACCTTCAGTCACAATTAAGGCCAACTGCATCAATAGCTGATTTGATTGAGCAATCGTAATGTTGAACCTCAGATGTTGGAATGAAAAAAGAACAAGAATGTGGCTGACCAGGACATGGGGTGAGGATCGCTACTGTAGAACAAGGATTCCCGTCATTCGCTGGCTGTTACCCCGTGTGAGCTAACACAACTGATTTGATCTCTGATGGCTTTTGGGTCATAAACCCACTGAAGTTCTGTCTTTGAACTATTGTTTTTTATAAGTACCTTCAAATCTCCAAATTTTGATCTTAATAAATTGATTTGTAAGTCTGTCGATAATTTCATAATAATCTTGATATTTGGATTGGAGAGGAGATGAGTTAAATACAATATCAATCTTTAAGGAGAATTAATTAACAAACAAAGCCAGAAGCAAATTTTGTATTTTTAACATTTCTAATTGTTGTAGTTTGTAAGCTATAAATGTGTGTGTATGACAACTTCTACACATAGGTAGATATTATTTTGTTTTTTCCTGTTTAACTGTAAAAGAGGATGCTTGAATACACAAGTTGATTTTGAATGATATTGTCTATCACAATGGAAATTAATGTATATGCACCACTGGACTAAAATATATTAGCAGATGGATTGCAGAAGGTTTTATATACTTCATCTTATTGCTTAACTTTTCTGTTGTTTTAGATGCTGTAAAGATTCTAGAATATATCAATTTGTTTTCTGCATAGTAAATTTCTAATGGATTCCACCAAGAACAATAATGTGTTCATTGCAATAATATTAATGTGCTATTTTTAAAAACATTTGGAATGTCTTCATTCTGATTTATGTTGGCTCCTTTTCATTAAATTTGATTAAATACTATAAACACAATTATAACTCATCTGAAATCTTTGTTTTCAACAAACAATGTTTCAATAGGGCTACCATGGAGGTGATTAAATCCTCTCAATATACAGTACAACATGCCTGTATACATGACACTATACGCTTTAACAAAGTACAGACATGTTGATGATGAAACTGTGGTTTCTGCTCTAAGTTCACAGAAAACATATTAAAAATAATTTAGTAATATAATTTTTTAGAAAGCGTAGCAGAAGACAACACAACCTAAACTTCTAATCTAAACTTTATCTCAAAAGCCATGTCCTCCTGGTTTTTATTCAGAAGAAATGCAATAGACCTTCAGCCTACTGGAAATGACTGATGGCTTTAAAATGTTGAAATGATGATGCGAGCACACATTTTGATTTCAGCAGAGCCTGAAATCCAAGGTTTAGGTCTGGAAAATGACACACTACATTTTTTTTCATGTTTTGAAGCTAGAAAACTTCTCTGATTTTCGAAAAAATCAGAACAGTAAGAAGCCCTTCACATGTTGGACCTCTCTTACCTGTAAGCAAAAGGAACACGCTGAACCGGACCTCGCAGGACATTCTTCAGTCTTTAGAGTACAGATGCAGGCTTTGAGATGTGAAATCAGCTTGTTTGTGCTGTGATGGAAAAGGCTTATATGAATGTGTTTCTAGCCCAGAGCTGTGCCCAGCTACTGTTTTTTTCATTTCCTGTACAGGGAAATAAAAAAGACAACTCTACTCACCACACAAACCAAACTAGAGGTATTGGTACATGCTACATATGCTGAGGCAAAATACAGCAACCCCCCCACCCCACAGAAAAAGTAGTTCCTCTTCTCATCATGAAATGATTTATAAAAAAGAGAGAATGACAAGTTTGCAAACCACATGGATTTTTTAAAAAAACTGAAGAAACTTGCTGAATTTGTTTAAAAAGTTAATTTCCACTTTAATTGTATGTAATTTCCAATTTACATACTGTAACTGTAACTGTTTACAAATTGAAACGTTTAGTTTGTTTCTGCTATTTTGAAAGTGTCTGTTTACAATTTCAAACACTTTAACAGTAAAAAGGGGCAGGCAAGTGAAAATTTTCCAAACGTGCTTACAAGCACATTCTGTGGCCTTTGAAGAGATCACTGACAGCCACACTTTGGGGGCTGTACAGATATACTGTAGCTGTGGGTTTGTTAGACAAGAGCCAATGTGTGAAAAAAACTATTTCAGTGCATCTGAATGAGTTTGGCACAGGACGGCATCATAATTTTAGACATCAGAATAATTTTAGGAATGCTGGAAACCAGTTCAACAAAGGGCTTGAATGTGCAATAAGACTTTGCATAGAAACATTAAAGCCAACAGCAAGTTCAGACAGGACATTTTTGGTGAGATGCCCATTTGGCTTGAAAAGTAGGAGTTTTGGTTTGTCTGGGAATTTCGCCACAAAAACAATGGAAACGAGTTTTGCTCATTCAGATTTACTATCTCCAATGTGTGATAACTATGACATGAACCCTAAAACAAATCACATATACAGTATATTTACTTTTTTTCTGGGTACTTACAGTAACAGTGGTTTCCTGACCATCCAACTGACCTGACATATATTTGTATTGAAACCAGCATTTAGTGTTAAATGCAGAAATGAGAACCTACTGTAGGTTTACACCAGAGATTTCAACTGGGAACAGGAGATGCTTCTTCACACAAATGGTGGCTGCAGAGGGCGTGACAGTGTGTGTGTGAGAGAGAGAGTATATATATAAGGTTCCGCTAATTCTGCTGTTTGATTATACCGCTTGAGAATTGGATTGTAAATTGGAGGGGTTCCCTCTAAATCTCAAAAGCATTGACATGACATGAAACCAGACTTTTAAAACTAACACTCCAAAAGCTCGAATACACACCAATGCAGGACAAAGAAAAGTGTATATTTAAAATGTCCCATAAAATGAGATTTTTACAAATGGGTGCTTATTAAAAAATTCATAAGACTGTGCATGTGGTCCCACAAAAAGAATAAAGTTCAGCAAACTGATTTTGTGCAGCCATGAGTGAGACAAAACATTAACAGATGTAATACTAAACTCAGATCTAAAGTGAGATCTTTATGTGAGAGTTTTATAATACTGAAAGCACCACATGGTGGCGCAATGGTTAGTTAGCATTGCTGCCTCAAAACACTGGGGCCCTGGGCTCAGTTTCTGGGGTGCTGTCTGTGTGGAGTCTGTATGTTCTACCAGAGTCTAAAGACATGCTGTTGGGTCGATTGGCTTGTGGGAAAATTGGCTCTGGTAATAAGTGTGTCTGTGTGTCCTGTGATCGACTGACGTCCTGTCCAGGGTGTGTGTGTCTGTATGTGTCCTGTGATTGACTGACGTCCTGTCCAGGGTGTGTGTGAGTGTGTGTCCTCTGATTG